TTATTATTATTATTATTATTATTATTATTATTATTATTATTATTATTATTATTATTGAGTTAGAAGTTCCATGAACATCATGTCTAATGCACTTAGTACGAGATCATGAAAAAAATTATCTTAGAAAAATAATGACAGTCAATCCACCTCATCTATTACCACTCCACAGGTAATGGTACTCAAAAGAGAGGTTGAGATGAGCCGGTTTTTACCTGACACAGCTATCCCTCTAATACAAACGGAAGCGAGAGGCTGAAATTTGGAGCCTTAGTTTGGCTTCTCTTATTAAAATCTGTTATTAAAAGGTTATCTAGCATAAGCTCTGTTCCTATTTTAATACCCAGGAAGTAAAATATTTGTAATTTAGCTGACATTATTAACCATCAGATCCTTCCTTCCTTCCAGAAAAGTGTATTCTGAGATATGGCCTACAAATCATTAGTTCTTCTAGCTTCACTTGGTAAAATACTTTAGCTTGGATAGATCACTTTCATGTGATTTGCTTTAAAAGTATAAAGAATTTTCTTCAAAGTTACCATTTATAATTTACATATATATCATTTGTATAATATCTGGAAATTCTCCATTCAGAACTGGATTTAGTGTTTGCTTAATGAAGAAACATGGCTTTCTTGTCTATATTTTTTAATCCACTAAGAATTACATAATGTAAAAACTGGATAATTCCAGCAGAAACTTCCCAAGTCATTAGTTACTGTTAGGGTCAGCAGAGACCGTAATTACACATAAGTAAGTGCCCGTAACATGTATTAATACAGTCTGTAAAGCATTTGACCCTGTGTGTGTCTCCGTTCTGTAGTAGGAGTCTGTGCTATGGCTTTCCTCATTCATTGCTTGTCAGACAGAGGTAACAGTCAAGGAAAGAGCTCATTGCATTTAAAAAATGGTCACTAATCAAAGGAAATCTTTTTTTTCAACATGTAAAAATATGGAACGCTTCATGAACTTGCATGTCATCCCTGTGCAAGGGCCATGCTAGTCTTCTCGGTATCGTTCCAATTTTATTATGTGTCTCTGCCAAAGCAAACACGGTCAAAGGGGATCTTAACGTGAGTTAACACTTCTCTCCAGGGTGAGAGGGTATGAAGGAACAGCATATACCCACAGATTATTTATGGTGAGTTTTTGAGGCCCTTTGTTAGAATAGACATATTCTTGCAGTATCCTTTGGACTTGGTTTTCCAGGCAGCCTCTTTTTAATCCCATCATGGCCCTGAGTGCGCCATGTGGGTTTGGAAGGATTTTGTTTGAACATTTTTAGCAGTTTTCATTCATTACAGCCTCACAAGCTGACTAAGCAGCAAGGGAGGGAAGCTTCTTTCAAGATGTAGGTCCCAATAACAATTATAAGGGGCAAAGACAAGGGCAGCAGTCACATAACGACCGCAAATACTCCACAGAACTGGAAAATTCCTGCTCCTTCTCGAAGGAGCGACAGTGTGGGCTAATGAGCTGACGTTGATAAACTGTGCGGATAGCACTTACAAGCGTTTCTTGCTAAGGCAGAAAGGAGAAGTTGCTCCCTTTTCACCCCAAAACTGCCAGCTGTACTAAACTGCCCCTTCCAAAACCAGAAAGCAACTGGCGTCGTAGTACGGTCACAGCTCCACACCTGTCCTTTATGCTTCCAAGTGAGGAGCATTACAGAAAGAAATCCTGTGCGATCCAGATGGTTCCCTGAAGGCTCCCTGAGAGAACTTGGGAGAAATCTCCGCAGCCAAAAATGCTGTTCTCACTTGTTCAAGTGCCAGAAAGCCCACTGCCCCTCTTTCATACAGATCAAATAAACCATCTAAAGATGCGCCTGTTTTCTTTGTCAGCTGAAAGAGTGGACCACTCACAGATGACCGCGTGCCCACACCCCACCCATCCACATCCCCCACCCACAGCCTCGCCATCTATTTCTGAACAGCAACAGTCCGACCAGCACCAGTGAATCCTGGTGAAAATGAAAGATGGGGCAGGAATCTACTTCTGAGATTCCTGGTAATTGCTTTTTCCTTTTGTGTCCCTGTTCATTTAGAGTTTTCAGAGCTGTATGCTATATCGGCTCCAAAAAGTCCAGTCCTTAGGAAATCTGGGTATGCCAGTGATGACTTTATGATGAATTTGATACACACCAAATTACAATTTTAAAAAAGAAAGACACATTGAAAGCATGCTAGTGGGATTCCCCTGCTGCTTATAGCTAGCCTCATTGTTTTTAGAGGCAAATGGCCAGCCCAGCATCAAGGGATAAGAGGATTTTTGTTTGGTTTGCTTTGGCTTTTATTTTCATTTTTTATAGGTTAGGTTTCATAACCTTTTAAGTTGTTGGCTTCATCTTTAATATGATTCTTTAAAACTGATTCTTAAAGGTAGTATAATCAAAATAGCTTTACTCTGTATTTATATTCCCCCTACACTTGAAAGGTTGTTGTTGGTGATTTGTGTGGGGGGGGGGAGGGGGTTAAATATTATTCTTGTTGCTGGATAAATTCCAGAAATCGTATAGTCAAACCTGAAACTCCCTGCACAACCCCCACCCAAACAACAACCACAAAACAAGGTTTGGAATCACTCAATCCAAGGTAGTTCTAAAGCAGCCCCCACCATTCTTAAATAAAATAATACAAACATGCTTTCCACTGGGTAACAGTAAATACACAAATTGCAGACTGGACATGATCTTTAAAATTTTGTTGTGTGTGTGATGCATGCCTGTGTGGGGATTGTCTGGTGTTCTCTCCGAGCCTGGAGCATGCCATTTTACTAGACTAGCTGCTCAGCAGCCTCCTGGGTCCTCCCAGCCCCATCTTCATAGCACTGGGGATGCACACAGCCCACAGCACCCAGCATTTACAGGCGTTCAAGGGCTCTGAGTTCAGTTCCTCAATCTTGTGCAGAAACATTTTTACATGCTGAGCCATCTCCTCAGCCCCAGATAAAATCTTAAAAGTATTCCCACTATAGTCAAAATATGAATAGGGGCAGCTCAGATTATAGAGACACAAGTCTGTATATAAAGAAGGAAGGAAGAAAGGAACAGCCTCTTCTTGGAACTTACCCCCCCCCCATCAAATCCCACATCGCTCAGCCCTTCCTTCCCTGTGCTGTCCTGATTTTGTCCACCCTGCCTCAGAAGGCCTCTTGATTGGCTCAGTTTACTCCAAACCCATTCCACATGCCCAAGGGATATTGGAAAGGGTCAGAGGAAGGTTGGGGAAGCCTTAGCCACAAGGCCTCATGTAGCCCAAGGCTAACTTTCACCACACGAAAATGATGTACACCTAGCAGGGTCCCAGGGCCAGGAATGTCCCTCCTCGGACATTCGCCCTCTTCTGCCTCTGGGTCTAGCTCTGTAGACGTGTGTCATCACCCCGCCATTGCCTTCCCTGGCTTCCTCCGTTGTGTTGCCTCTTCCTTCAGGTCTCACACATCTGTCTGTACCCTCCAGCTGGCTACAGAAGCCTGGGGAGTTTTTTAAACTGCTGATACTTTTAAGGTTTCCTTTAATTAGGTGGGTGCAATGCCTGTTCAGGACTGAGGTGTGGGAGCCCTGGAGCAGAGTTACAGGAGTGCATGAGCTTCCTGGTGTAGCAGCCGGCAGCCCAACTCAGATCCCCTGCAAGAGCAGTCAAGAGGTCTTAGCTGATGTGCCATCCCTCCAGCCCTGGTTTTGGGCATTTTATGATGGAATTTTGTCATTCCCGTTTACGTTAAAAGCCAGAAAATGACATTTTGTTTTATTAAAAATAAAAGCCAAGCATTTCTAGAACTCTCTATTTTTTCCACTTTAGTGGGCCTTGGTGGAGCTGTCTCAGTGCCCTCCTACGAACAGAGAATTCTCTCTGCTGTCTCCACGGATCCCTGTAGCATCCTAAGTAGAAATGGCCACTGAAAACACATTAGGAAACACTATTGAACCAGCTTCTTACAAATTTCTTTCTTTCAAAAAGTTTTGTTTTGTTTCAAGACAGGGCTTCTCTGTGTAGCCATGGCTGTCCTGGACCCACTGACCAGGCTGGCCTTGAACTCACACTAATCCGCCTCTGCCTCCGCCTCCGCCTCTGCCTCCCTGAGTGCTGGGATTTTTGTTTTGTTTTTTGTTTGCTTTTGCTTTTGAGGCAGGCTCCTCTGTGTGTCCCTGCCTGGCTCGGAACGCACTGTGAAGATCAGGGTGGTTTCAAACTATGGCAACTCTGATTGTGGGTATGTGCCACCATGTCCTGCTTCTAACAGTGCCTGTGACATTTGATTTCTTGCTGTCTTCTAGAAGAGTTTAAAGGCTTTCCCCCATCTGTTGTACTTGGAAAAACTACTCAGTGTTCATGTTAGCCCATTTACATCTGATTTTAAAGTGGAGGAGGAGGAGGAGCAGCAGCAGCAGCAGCAGCCGCCCAGGGGCTTAGCATTGTTGGCCTTGGCTAGACACTAGGGTACCGTCAGGCTTTCCGTCAGCAGCTACTGCTTATGTTGGCCTGAAGTATCTGTTGGTTGATTGGCTGGTTACTCACGAAGCAGCTGAGGATGACCTCTGACCCACCTACCTCTACCTCCAGAGTGCTGGGATCACGGGACTTGGCCAGCACCCCTAGTCTGATGTGGTGCTGAGGACTGGACCCCAGGTTCCTGTCTGCTAGGCAAGCCTCCTACCAAACGAGCCATATCCCCAGCCCACCATGAAGTCCTTCACACCACGTAAAAATACCCTCACACTTAGCCAGGTCTGCTGGGGGGGAGGTGTGGAAACCCCGTGCCCCGTCTCAGCACCAGGAAAGCACGGGGGTAGGGGTGGAGGATCAGACAGAAATGGAATCACCACCAAACGCTGTACACTTAGTGGAACACTAGTGAGTCTACAAACTGACCCGGGCGAAGTGGAATAACATCAAATGCTGTGTACTTACTGAAACACACTGGCAATGTGTGGAATTTTTATTGTGTTAAACATTCAAAAAAGCCGTTTTCAGAGGAAAAAAAAAACCTACAAAAATAACCACAAAATTGACTTTACCGGCAAATTTAGAAACTCCTTTAGGTTCTAGTACTCCCAGAAGCCCTTGGCAGAGAGCTTTCTGTGCTGCCTGACTTCCCTCACCCAAAGATGCTTAGAACAACAGCTTCTCTGCCACCGGGCCATTCTGATTATTTACGGCAAATCCTGTCCCTGCACGTCAGAGGACACAGAAGGGCCTGCTGGTCTCTGTCACTCTTTGTAGAGACGCCCCTGAGCCACAGAGACCCTCCATCTGTACAGACTGGTCACAGGCCACGAGAAGCCGGGCGGTCCACCCCGGCTGTCCACCCCGGCTGTTCTGTCCTGCCCTGCCTGGCACCTTCCGCAGCCACACTGTCCCACACAGTTGCCTCTCCCTGACGCCTGCGTTAATCTTACCAAGGATGACACACAGATTTTTTCCCCATTTCTGGAGAGTGAGAACTAAGTAATTTTATGTTTCCTCTTTCCAAAGCTAAGTATGAGCACTGCCATCCATTGTCTGTCTGGGTATCTGCCCCATTTTTAGGGATTCTTCTGGCCACTTGACACTGCTCTGATCTGCACATTTGATGAGCATTTTCTCTACCTTTCTAAATTCTTGTAAATCTAATTTGTCTTGGTCAAATATCTAGCACTCCTGAATCTAGTTTCTTTTCTTCCTTTTTTAAAAAGATTTATTTATTTATTTTATGTGTGTGGGTGTTCTGTCTGCGTGTGTGTACACACCAGAAGAGGGCACTGGATCCCATGGTACTATAGTTGTAGACAGTTGTGAGCTGCCATGTGGGTGCTGGGAATTCAACCCAGGACCTCTGGAAGATGCAGCCAGTGCTCTCAACCACTGAGCCACCTCTCCATCCCCTGAATCTAGTTCTTAAAGAGACAGATGTGTCATATTATCAGTGCTAATGTCTCTCAAACCATTAAAGCCACTGAAATCCAACCCCCTTATGTGTCAGATGCTGTCCTCACAGGAGCTTTTGATGGCAGATCTGGACAAGCATCTTTGGCGATATCAGGAGCAACACAAGGAACTCTGTGATAGCC